CATACAGTTGCCTGATCAGTTCGCGAGAAGGATTGCAGAAGCGTCGAATGGAAACATGAGGAAGGCCACTTTGATGCTCGAAGCAGCCAGAGTTCAGCAGTGAGTCTTCAAGCGGATGGTTTGCCACTTTAGACCATGTGCTCAAACGCCTCTTCAAGATATCCATTTTCCGAAGGACAAGAAGCAATACCGTCAGATTGGGAAATAAATGTACGAGATTTGGCCATGTACATCCTGCATGAGCAAACTCCTGGCCGGTATGCGTCTTTGTTCATCGTGGACAAGCCTGCATGCTGACGGCAATTCATAGTTTGGTCGAAGTGCGAAAGAAGTTCTATGACCTATTATCGCACTGTATACCACCGGACGTGATTCTCAAATCGCTGGCATTTGAGCTCATTCAAAAGATTGACGGGCACTTAAAGGCCATGGTGATACAGCAGGCGGCTGAAATGGTAAAACTCATTTAGCTCTCCTGACTGCTGATCATAAGCTTTGCTGACAACATTCATAGGAACATCGCATGCGAATGGGGAACAAAGCGATTTTCCACTTGGAGGCATTCGCCGCTAGGGTTATGAGCATATATAAGAAGTATCTTGTGGATCTTGGGGCTGATATGTGATACTCTTTCACATCTAGCCGTCTGTCCCTGTAAATATCATCGAGGATGAACTGTTGCATCATCATCTTGCTTGAAAGACATCAGGCAAATAAAGAAGGGCACTATGGTCAGTGTTTGGATATGTGAAGCAGCAAGTATGTTTGTTTGCGATGTTTGTACACCCACTTTGAACAACCATTTATTACAAACACAAAATGAGAACAACTGCCAAAACAAATATCAAGAGGAACGCGGTGACGTACGCGTACTCCTGCGGAACTGGTAGGAAAGCTACCAACGGTCAGTTTTGAATCGTTCAACTTACTCAAGATAGCGACCCTATCCAAAAATCCAAAACAGGAAAAGAATGAAACTTACCAACAAACTCGACCACCACAAACCCCAAAGCAACATACCCAACCAACAACCACTTCATAGCCCTCCCACTCAAAATACTCAACCCCCTCCCACCACCCTCCCCCTCATCCACGGCATAAACGAAATTCATCAAAGCAGGATGCTGCTCCATCCCCTCCATATTCATCGCCGCATCCGTGCTCCGCGGTATAGTAAACAATACCGCATCGTCCGTCTCCAAGGCATTATCGCGGAACCAGGCGCGGATGGAGGCGTTCATTAGAAAATCGTCGTCTGTTGCGTAGTATCGCGCTAGGTATTGGAGTTGGGATCCGGTGGGTGTTGAGGAGAGGGGTTGTTCTTCTAGTTCTGGGGTGCGTTTGTTGGAGGTGGGTTTTGTGGAGGGGGTTATGATTAGTTTTGGGGGTTTGCGGGTGGGGTCCGTTGATGAGGATGAGGAGGTGGTGGTGGTGGTGGTGGGGTTTTTGGAGGGTGTGGTGGTGTCGTCTTCTAGGGCGTGGAGTTGGATCCATTCATGGATGCTCATGTTTTTGTGGTGTTCGTTTGAGAAGGCTGTGGAGCGGACGCGGCGGTGGAGGCGTGGGGTGGTGCTTGTTGGGCGGAAGCCGCTGGTTGTGGTTTCGTTTTGCGGGAGATTTGTGGGACGGCGTTCATCTAATGATGCACGGACAGTGTCTTGTATAGGTTCTGTGGTATCTACAAAGGCGTCATCGGCGGAGTTGCGTCTGGAAGTGTTGAGGAGGGGAATGTCTTCGGGGGCGTGTCGAGTTGTGGTTGTGGCTCCTGCGGATGTTGGTCGTCCGTAGAGAGGACCGAATTTGCTATTACTTTTGCCTCCTTCTCCAGGAGATAAAGGCACGACTTCTTCTGACCCTTCCAGCGCATTTGGTCGCATCACCAAGTGCAGTGTGCGCTTCTTGGGCGGAACGGTGAGGCCCGCCACCTGCAAGAACTGCGACCATCTCTTGCTGATGTCGGCTGCTCCCCTTCCATGGTGACTATCTTCTGCACCTGCACTCCTCGGACGATTATACCGTCTGAAGAGTTCTGAATTACGGCGCTTGTTGTTGTTATAGTTTGTGCCCGCAAATTGTTGTGTGATCATCGAGCGGATGGAGTTGATGGAATGTATGGAAGACACAGAGTCGATGGATGCTCGAGATGAATTTTGAACCGACATGGAGTTCATCAGTTTTACGGCTGCTGCTGTAATTACATAGTAATGGACATCGCCAACAATGGTCATGTTGTTTAACGGCTGCGTCGTTACCAGGTTATTTCTAGACAATACCGTGGCGAAAGGCTGATCAGAAACTCACATTTTTTGCCTTCATGCGATGTAGTAGTCCTTCCTCAGGTTGTGTGCGAAAGAGAACTCTGAAAGATAATCAAACAAGGTAAGAACACGGACACGAGGTGCTTACAATGTAGGAACCATCATTCACATACTTGTTGATGTGGTGCGCTGCATAATAGGAATAGTAAAACCTGGACTCATCATTGGGATCCACTGTGGTCACCCTAGCCATGATGAAATCCTTCCCTGCGTCGGCGTGCAACTGTATTAGATTCTCAAACGGCTCGAGCGTGAATGGATCTTCATTTTGGGCGTCTAAAACATCAATGACAGGCTCTTCGGGGCTATCTGGTGTTGATGGCGAGCCCGTAACGGGTTTGATCGGTGCACCGGCGGCGTCCTTCGGTAGCGCAGCTGGTTCCGTGGATGCTGTGGGCTCATTTTTAGGCGCGCCAACCAACTTTATGAAGCGGGACCGTTTGGACTGCGGGATAAAGTGGGAGTGGGTGTGAGGGTCTGATCCAGAGTCGGAAAAGTCATCGATGTCATTGTCGTCATCAGGGGCTGTGGTCGCTCGCCGCTTGGTGGTCGGTACGGAGGATAAGTGGATGGGCTCGTCGATTGCATCTGTTGGAACGCGCGCGTATTGTGTCATGATTCGCACCAGAAGAGAAACAGCTGTCTTGAATAAGTTCTGATGAAGTGAAGTTCTGAAACAAGGAGCAGGAAGAGCAATGGAAATTGGCGGTGTATGAATACCACACACAACATCGACAAGGACCCTTCAGATGTGGCGCCGACGGTGGCTTGTAGATCGCGTCCTCGATCTTCACCACGCCAGGCCTGCGTTCTGGTGGGTTGTGATGCTTGAGAAGAGTAAGAAGGGCGATGTCATACCGGTATGTTGAAGTGAGAAGGTAACACCCAACATCTGCTTTCTTCACCGCGGTAATTGTTCGAAGATACCAACAGCACTTGTACCTCAGCGACAAACAGTTCGAAAACTTGGAGAATGTCAACTTCGGTTCCACTTTTGACGTCCTTGCCGGTGGAGCTCCTGATCGCCATCTTCCACCAGTGCCGTCACCCACGTTCGATCTGCCGATCGGAACGAACCTGTCAGACATTGCAAATAGCCTGCAACGATGACACCATATGGCTCACAAAGTTGCGTAGACTGATCCCGGGTAAAGGGGCGATTCAGCTGCAGAAGGGGGAGCGCTACAAAGACGTCTTTCGGAAGGTGTTCTTATGGGAAACATTCCGCCTCAAAAAAGGCGTGAGAATGCTAGAGTACGAGGAACGGACGAAAGAATGGTTGCTGGAAGGTACTTGGAAAGATGGACTGGCCGAGGTTGACTATGGTACCACTTCTCTCGAGTGGCATCACGGCAGTCGTCTTGAAGTCTGTCCAAATTACATATTAGAAACACCAAACTACCATAGCACCATCTCCGCCAAACCTACCGGAATCCGACCCATTCGCAACAGACCTAATCCTTCGACACTCCCATCACATTTGCCACCAAATGTGATCCCTTTACCCTCCCTACATGCCAACGTCATTCCCGCTGTTGATCTCACGGGAGCCATAAACTTCTACAACCCCGAAACCTTCGCCCTGCAACACAGAATCGACAACGTCAAACCAACACCATCCCCTCAACCATTCCTCTATTCAAACACGTTCATCATGGTCCACGAAATTTTGCGTTTTGTAACCGTGCATCGCCTAGAACCTGGTGTTTTCCAACCAAAAGTGATCCACTACCACCTCCCACGCGACCAGGACCAACCCAACCAAGAACTCCATACCAGCCCGTACTATCCAGCACTAACGACCAACGGAAGCACTGCGGCCTGGTTGAACTCCGAGGACAAAGTGGTGCTGTGGCACTTTGACACACCAACAGCATCAGGATTTCCTCCTCAAATCATTGATACCCCCTTGGCCGGATCCCATCGCCTCGTCATGACCCGCACCCACCTCGCCGTCCTCAACCTCTACAGCGACATGCGCATCATGATTCTCCGACTCGCAACCCGCCAATGGATCTGTGTAACAGGTGCAGAAGTCCACGCCCGCCGCGAAATCCCACCAACCCTAACCACCAAAGAACGCGTCAAAAACCGGTGGGATGCCCGGATGTCCGTATCGCTTTCCAAATGCGGGACTCGGATTACCGTAGCGAACTACGTATTAGACCAGTACGGGGAGAGTGATTTTGTGTGGGATGGGGATACTGGTGCGTCACATCAGGAGAGATGGGAGAGGGAACGGGAATATAATGCTCGTAACGGGTATGTGGGGATTCATTCAACGGGATTTGCGTTGTTGGATTTGGGGGCGAATCGGTGTGTTTCGGCGTATCGGCAGATTAAGATTTCGTACACGAAGAAGGACGGTCGGGCTTGGCATGTGGATGGGAATTGGGTGTGGTATGTGCCGGGTGGGAACATTGATATTGTGCAGATAGCGTTTGTGAAGAAGGATTAGTGGGTATGGTGGTTGCGGATGTAGGTGGTGGAGGCTGTACAGGATTGCCAAGGTTTAAGGACGCATTTCTTAATAGATATTTGTGTGTCTTGCATGAAGTTCCTCCCTTATGAAGAGCGATATTGACGTGATGAGTTGCTACACTGTCCACCCATATTACGCAATCGCGAAGGTCTACATCTTTGTATGTTATTGATGTAATTGGCACATTTGGTGTTTAAATTGGTCTGATAGTGTAGTTGGTTATCACGTATCCTTCACAGCTTCTGCAAAAGAAGATGAGCACGGATAAGGTCTCCGGTTCGAACCCGGATCAGACCATCGGCAACCCTGAACCACATGCTACATTTTGTTCTCCTTCGCATATTATTGAACCACATGCTACATTTTGTTCTCCTTCGCATATTATTGAACCACATGCTGCATTTTGTTCTCCTTCGCATATTATTGAACCACATGCTACATTTTGTTCTCCTTCGCATATTATTTTTTTATCCACAAGCAGATTGGGCAACTTGAAACTCAGCCTTCCCCCCCTTGGTGGGTACTCATCACTCAGGTCTTCTTGAGGAAGAAGCCGATTCTCACAACACGAGAGCTATCGTCATCTGCAACATCCGAGCCACAACCAACCATCTTGAAATGCTCTTGTTATCCTGGCTTGTCATACCCAGGAGTGGTTGTCATACCATAACACATGCCAAGTCTCATGGTGCCCAATCTCATGATGCTAGGCAAATATATTACAATGCTTACACCCATGCCCCCAACTTTTCATCCAACCTCACACAACCTTCACAACCCCACATCACTTCCTCTTCCTCCCACTCCCAGGCGTGTTCTTCACCTCCTCCTCCTCAACAACCTTCCCCTTCTTACCCCCCATCCTCCCATCATCCTTCGCCTTCCTCTTCCCCTTTTCAGGCTTCTCCTCCTCTTCCTCTTCCTCCGCAAGCTCCTTCGAAATCAACGAAATAAGCGTGTCGCATCGACGTTTGATTTCCTATAAACGCGAAGATGCTGATTAGGCTTGCCTTCTTCAAATGCGATGACAACAGATCAACATATCCAATTACCAGAGAAGTGCGCGACTTGATGAACCAATCAAACCGGAATAACGGCGACTTACGCAGCTCGTCCCGGATCTTGTCATGCACGTCGTCTGTGCCATATCCAAACTTCTCCAGCATGACAAGCTAATCAGACAAAAAGGTCAAAACGTCAATCACATGTCCGCGGTTCCATCCATCGTAGAACTCCAATGTTGTGAGTACTAACCAAGAACCGATCCTCCTCCTCCGTGAAATTCTTCCCCCTGGTCTGCTGATACTTGATCTGCAACTGCTGAAGAGGGCTACGATGCGCTTTGACCTTGGCCGTCAAAGCGTCCTGAATCTCCTGCGTCTTCCGCAGCTTCTCTTCTCGCTTCTCGATATCGCTGATATACTTCTCCCATTCTGCATCGTCCCAATCAGGTCAATGGACTCCCGAATGAGCAAAGGAACAATCAAATAAAACGTACTATCGAGCTCCTTGTGGCGTTTCCAGAAAACCTTGTGGTATTCACGCACTTCGTCCAGTGTCTTGCCCGTCTCCATGTTCTGTGCAATATCCTCCACAGCATCTCTGGAAAGCATAGAAAATGAAAATCGTAAATGCTTGAGGTACATTGCTCAAAATCGCACCGACAAATATTCATACCTCCCACATTTCTCGCACGCCTTAATGAACGCTTTGAAATCTTGTTTCGTCCAATTATCAAAGCCCTGCGTTATGTTGCCATCAGAACCCATTGTACCTATCGACAAAGAATGATCCCGCCGTACCTGTGTTTGCAGCCTCTCCTTCTCCGCCATCTCCTTGTCCGTAAGCATCTCCGCTGCAATACCTCATCAGCGTCCATACCTCATCACCAACACCAATTCCGTCAATTTCTCACCTTCATCGATCTTGGCCTGCTCGACCTCAATCCACTGGGCTTTCTCCTCGTCCGTGCCTTCGAAATCCTCGGGCAATTTTACCCGGTACCCAATCTCCTTCTGCAAATCATTCCATTCTGCATGAGCTTTTCTTCAATATCAAGAGACCAATTTGGCCAATCACACACACCTGATAAGCCTTCTCTTCCCGGTCTTGTAGCTCATGCAATCGTCGAGGGTAGAATTGGAAGTCATGTCTAAAAATCGCTCGTCAATAACCGACCACACCAACACAAGTCTTCCAAGCTTCAACATCTTACAGGGTGGGGTTTTTGGGCTTCGGCACCTTCTCCTTCGTCGGTCCACGAGTTTGCAGTACATTCCGATAGTACTCGTCTTCCGCATAAGAAGTCACCTCTACAAATGGCGGGGCAATCTAGCGGAATGCACAAACAAGAGGACTTTCAACCGTGCTTACTCTTCTTCTCACGCTTGCCGGGACCAATCCAATTTCTGCCAATTGCAGCCCCTTTGCTCTAAAAATCCCACATCAGTATCAGTGGTTATTGATCGTGCCATGATTTAAACTCATCCCAAACATACCCGGAAATCTTCACCCTCCCACTCATAGACACTGCTCTGCCCTTGTTGAGTGGAGAAGTTCTGCAAATCGTCCAGTCCCATACTCGAATATTTGTCTTCCAACTCGGCCGTTTTGGCCTCGGACCGTCTCAAGATATCATCAATGTCGTCTTTCGAGATGGTACTGTCACATGCAAAGAGAAAAAAACACAGTCAATAATACATAACATGGAGGGGATGCCGCATTTCTGTTCACCTTGAAGAGTTCTGGAAGATATCTTCGGCACCATGTTGGATCATGGATACAAGTTCTTCCTTAGACGCCGCTGCGATAACTTGATCAGGAATCGTTCAGCCAAGAAATTGAACAAGTCAAGTACTCACATTTCGCTTGTTGAACGGCCCGACCCTGCTGAATAACCAGTTGGTCCAACCGCAACTTCTGCGTCGCCTTATCAATAACGCGCTCCTCAATAGCGTTCTGGTTTGAGCGGTCAGCGCTGTCAACTACACATGCATGCATTAGGGACGTACCTCAGTAATGAACCGATACACAAAGACTTGCTTCTTCTGGCCGATACGGTGAGCACGATCCTCAGCTGATGACATTATTCCAGATTAGTGAGAGACAAATATTAGCAATATTGATATCGTCCATTTCGTACCTTGCAAATCAACTTGAGGATTCCAATCGTTGTCGTACATTACGACAATATCGGCCGTGGCCAAGTTGATACCAAGACCTAAAGAACACCGTTATCGAAACTTTGCAATGTCCTTGAAGGCCACAAAATATCCACAAACCTCCAGCACGGGTAGTCAGCAAGAAAATGAACTTCGTGCTATCCGGCTTGTTGTACTCGTCAATGCCAGCAATGCGATCCTCGTGGGGCGTGTTGCCATCAATACGGCAGTATTCTGCAATGGTTCAAGTCAGAATCGTGAAAAGCTCGCATGCCTGCACAACGTTTTGTCAAACATACCGTAGCCACGGAACACGCAATAATCCTCGACTGCGGAAAACGTCGTTCATCTTTGGTTACCGTCATCCTTAATATCCACAAGATATTTGACAAATCACTCACGAATATCCAACACTCTGCTCATCTGACTGAACAACAAAACGCGAGACCCTTGTTCCTTCATCCGTTTGAGCAGCTTGTCCAATATCACCATCTTGCCTGTATGCCACGCACATTAGAAGAAACGAAACCTTGCGAGTGCAAATACATGCAACTCATACCAGCATTCTCAACAAGGTGCTCATCAGTTGTAAAAGGCGGGCCAGGCTCCGCACCATCGAACAAGTACGGGTGATTGCAGCACTTCCGCAACTGCATTACGATGTTCTGAAGACGCGTCTTGCTCTCCTTCTTCGCACCAGTGGCACCTGGACAGGATGCAAGTTAGCATTGCTATTTCCACCGCACCATCGCGCATTAATTACGAACCATTTACAGCATCAATATCCTTCTCCAAAATCTTCTTGTACCAGTTCCGTTGCATTGTGCTCATCCCGACATAGATGTTGATACGCTTCTTCGGCAGCAAGCTCTTTTCGACGTCCGCTTTGATACGTCGCAGCAAGAAAGGTCGCAAAACCTGATGATTTTGTGTTCAATATCTTTCCTTGTCTGAGTTCAAAGATACTGCAATCACCTTATGCAACTGCGTCACAACACTATCCTGATCGCCACCCTGCGACTCGAACCAGTTGTCAAAGTCTTCCGCGGAACTGAAGATGTCCGGCAACAGGAAGTTCAGAAGCGCCCACAGTTCATGTAGATTATTCTAATCAAGATGAAGGTCTGAGAATGTCCAAGGTCAGATGCCGCAACTGTTTCCTACCTGAAGAGGAGTGCCCGTGAGGAGCAACCGGTTCCGGCATTGGAAGTCGCGTACAATCTGAGAAAGCGCAGAGTTTTCGTTCTTGATACGATGCGCTTCATCGATCACGAGATATTGCCACGAAATCTTTTTGAATGACGATTTTTCAAGAAGACACATCTCGTATGAGGTGATGACGACGTCCCAATCGTCTTGTGCCAATAGGCGTTCCACAAGTTTAGGCTGCATGAAGCAATTTAGACACCATGATTTGGCTCACGGCATGCGATGGCGCAGTCATACCCTATCGTCTTTTGATCCGTGAAACATGAAGGCTCTCAAACTGGGGACCCATCGCTTGAACTCATTTTCCCAATTGTGCAATGTAGATTTCGGAACGATGACGACGTGCGGGCCGGGAATGTCTTCGAAGTGTTTGAGATATCCCAGGAAGGATATTGTTTGTAACGTTTTGCCAAGACCCTACAGATATATTGTAAGTCTATTGGATTCATGTCATCACAATGCAAGATTCATACCATCTCGTCCGCCAAAATACCGTTGATCCCGTTTTTGAACAGGGAGATTAGCCAAGTGAGACCCTGAAGCTGGTAATCCCTCATCGGCGCAAATTTCACGTCTGTCATATTTTTGCTCAGTTACGATGGATTCCAGTCGACAATAGCAATGATCTCACAATGAGGAGTTTCCGGGAAAACGACTTCGGCTTCCTCCTCATCCTCCGCCGCCGTTTTGAGCATCTCCTCATCTTCCTCCTTCTCCGTTTTGCGGTGTCGCCTTGAGCTGCACCCGAAAAGCGTCAGCCATATGCACCTTCGACGCAATCAAGATAACACCGACTCTTACCCATCCTTCGAGACCTCCTTGGCGCTCTGGTGGTCCTTAGCCTCCTCCAGCGCGCTGACGTCTGCTCCTTTCATTTTTGACAGATTGATGAAGTGGGCTTTTGTAAATGTATCGGTGAGATTATGC